CTAACTGCTATTGCTATCTATCTATCTATCTATCTATCTATCTATCTATCTATCTATCTATCTATCTATCTATCTATCTAATCTTCTTATCCTATCTATCAGCCATCTGTCTTTCTCTGTCTCTCTACCTATCATCCATCTATCTATCTATCTATCTATCTATCTATCTATCTATCTATCTATCTATCTATCTATCTATCTAATCTTCTTATCCTATCTATCAGCCATCTGTCTTTCTCTGTCTCTCTACCTATCATCTATCTATCTATCTATCTATCTATCTATCTATCTATCTATCTATCTATCATCTATCTATCTGGGTGAAAGGAGGACCCAGACTGTGGGGGCGATATGCTGACTCTGTAAACCGCTTGGAGAGGGCTGAAAGCCCTATGAAGCGGTATATAAGTCTAACTGCTATTGCTATTTGGTTGAGTTTCGCATTCCATTCTCATGATTCTGTCTTTGATTGGCCAGTTCATTCTGGATTAACAACTCTAGTTCCTGTCACCCTGTCATCCCCTCCCTCTGCCCATTCCCTACTTTCCCATCTTCTTCCCTCCTCCCCTGCATTTTATGGCAAGATGTCAGCAAAGCGAGCTATACTAAAGATGGCAGACCTGACAGATAGTATTGTTAAGTGAATCTGGCTTCCCCATGGACTTTAATTGTCGAAAGGTCGCAAAAGATGATCACATAACCCCAGGACACTACAACTGTCATAAATACATGCCAGTCAAGCATGAAAAGAAGAACAAGGGGAAAACATGATAGCAATGTTGCAAATATCTAAGATGCGAACGCGTGTTTCGCATGCGCCCCAAAAACCAGCTGGCCAGTGGGAGGGTGCGCGCACATGCAGGTCAGAGCTGAGCTGGGATGGCAGCTCATGTGCCTGCAGAGAGGGCTCTGTGTGCCATCTGTGGCACACGTGCCATAGGTTTGCCATCACGGATATAGGGTTTCCTGCCTGTGCGGGGGGCTAGACTAGAAGACCTCCAAGGACCCTTCGAATCTGTTATTCTGTTATAGATATATTTATCTGGTTCTGCTAATATGTAATTTTTCAAAGTGGCTTATCTGAGGAAGAATGAATAATTATTCTTTTGTTATTAATCTGGTCTCTGTTTTTTTCAGGTGAATACACAGTGATGACAGCTCATTTCCATTTGAAGAGGAAAATTGGTTATTTTGTGATTCAGACCTATCTTCCCTGCATCATGACAGTCATTCTGTCCCAGGTGTCCTTCTGGTTAAACAGGGAATCTGTTCCTGCAAGGACAGTTTTTGGTATGTAGTAAGTAATAACTTATTATTTCATATGCTAGCATAGAAGGATGTATAATCCTTTTCCCCTGTTTTTCTTTTAATAATATTTTGTATATGATTGAAATTCATGAACATTCTCATTTCTATCTAATGCTGTTTTAGGTTCAGTCTACAATTTTCCAGGAAGTTGGAAAGAGAATTAAAATGTGAAATGGGTCATATTTAAACCCATATATTTTTTTGCCAAGATGAGAGGAATATATGTATTTGTATAATTGCCCCTCTCAAATCAGTTACTTTGGGCAGCAAACATTCACAAACAATTAAAAATACAGTACAAAAATAAATTAAATGCAAATAACAGCCAAGAGATATTACACTCCATTGGTGTCAGTGGTTTGTAGAAAATGTGTCTTTAACATATTCAGAACTCCTGGCCAGGCCATATAGCCAGGACTTCGTGGCCTTTGGCAAGGCCAGCAGGTTTAAGACCATCCTACTCTCTAAAGGGAGATTGTTCTGGTAAGCAATAGAGTATAAATAAAATAGCAGACAAAAACACAATGTACATTTTATACAATGAGCTGAAAACTATCAGGATAGGAGTCTCTCATAATTTCATAGCTCTCAACCTTCTCGTCTTCCACAAAGTTGACTGTATCCATAGGCTGGAAACTAATGATTGTGATTTTTTAGAATAATATGGATGTTTTTTTTAGGGTGCTGAGTTGTTTTTTATATATTGGCTTTTATTGTTTTTATTTTTTTCCTCAGCACTCTGGTAGACCCACCCAGAATTAACAGAACATAAGATGGGCAACTATATAAGTTTTGTGAATCAGTAAATAAAATGGGTTCATTTTCAATGAAAATTTCTTGAAGCAAAGTGCTGTGTAAAAAGAAATCTATGTCATCTTCTCTTAATGAAGAATTAATACAGTGTACTTCACAAAAAAATCAAAATCTTTTGAGTAATGCATCTGGAATCTATATAGGACGTCTGATCCTTAACAGACAACACAATCTTATGTTGCTTAACTTATTCAGTTGACTTTCTAAATCTCTTCCCTTTTGCCAATTTTGATTTAAAATAGTATGATATAAATTCTGGTTTAGAAGTATAAACTTGTTAAGCTTGCATTCATTCATTCATTCATCATTCATTCATACATACATACATACATTCATTCATTCATCTTATACGCCAAAGATAGAATACAGAATAATAGGTTAGAAGGGACCTTGGAGATCTTCAACCTTATGCTCAAGAAGGAGACCTTATACCTTTCTGGACAAATGGCTATTTTTTAAAGTAATATGGGTGTTTTTTTAGGGTGCAGAGTTGTTTTTTATACTTGGCTTTTGTTGTTGTTTTTTCTCAGCACTGCTGGTAGAGCCACCCTGAATTAACAGAACATAAGATGGGCAACTATCTTATGAAGACCTCCAATGATGGTGCACTCACAATTTCTGGAGATGGATAGGATAGGATACATTAATAACGTAACAGAGTTGGAAGGGGCCTTGTAGGTCATCTAGTTCAACCCCCTACCTAAGCAGGAGAACTTACACCATTTCTGACAAATAGCAGTCCAATCTCTTCTTGAAAGCTTCCAGTGATGAAGCTCCCACAACTTCCAAAGGCAAGATGTTCCATTGGTTGATTGTTCTTACTGTCAGAAAACTTCTCTTTATTTCTAGGTTGAATCTCTCCTTGATCAGTTTTCATCCATTATTCCTTGTCTGGCCTTCAGATTCCTTGGAAAATAGTTTGACCCCTTCCTCTCTGTGGCAGCCCCTCAAACATTCGAACACTGCTATCATTTCTCCCCTGGTCCTTCTCTTCACTAGACTAGCCATGCCCAGTTCCTGTAACTGTTCATTGTATGTTTTAGTCTCCAGTCCAGAGGTGGGTTCCTACCGGTTCAGACCAGTTCGGCTGAGTAGGTAATAACTCGGCCTGCCATGCCCCTGAACCAGTTCTCTCAGCTGCACTATAGGCAGCGCCATGTTGTTTTTTGCTTTTGTACATGCGCAAAAGCATATTTTTAGTACTGCATATGTGCACATAGTGCGTGTGAAGCATGGCCCTGAGCAAACCGTCAGTAGCAGCAGCTGGAACCCACTCCTGCTCCAGTCCCCTAATCATCCTGGTTGCTCTTCTCTCCACTTTTTCTAGAGTCTCAACATCTTTTCATAGCGTGGTGCCCAAAACTGGATGCAGTATTCTAGGTGTAGTCTTACTAAGGCTTTATAGATTGGCATTAATACCTCACTTGATCTTGATTGTATCCTTCTGTTAATGCAATTTAGGATTGCATTGGCTTTTTGGCTGCTGCCACACACAAGTTGGGAGGGGCCTACAGGGGCCCTTCCAACTCTGTTAATCTGTTAGAGTGATGGCACAAGGGAAAAAACTGTCTTTGTGTCTGGTTATTTTGGCATGCAATGCTGTATAGCAGCATCTTGAGGGTAGGAGTTGAAACATTTTATGTCCAGGATGTGAGGTGTGTGTAGATATTTTCTCAGCCCTCTTTCTCACCTGTGAAGTATACAGGTCATCAACGGAAAGCAGTTTGGTTATTATTATTTTTGTAGTCCTAATTATCCATTGAAGTCTGTACCTGTCCTATTTGGTTACTATACCAAACCAGATAGTTATAGAAGCACAGGTGTCAGACTCTATAATTCCTTTAAGGGTATCAACAATTCCTGGGGCAGTCTGAACTTTCTGAGTTGATGCAGAAAAACATTCTTTATCGTTGCACCTTTTTAATGATGGTTCCAATATTAGCTGTCCATTTCAAATCCTGGGAGATTATAGAACCCAGAACCCTGAAGGTCTTTACTGTTGATACTGTGTTGTCTAATATTGTAAGAGGTGGTAGAATAAGAGGGCTCTTCCTAAAATCCATTTTCAACGCTACAGTTTTTAGTATATTCAGCTACAGGGCCACTTGTTCAATCTCCTATCTGTATGTAGACTCATCACCTCAAATGAGACCAATGACCATTGTATCTTCAATAAACCCACTGATTAATTGATCTCACAGTCAGGAAATTTCTCTTTAATTCTACATCGTATCTGTCTTTTACTATCTTTCACCAATTATTTCTTGTCCTGCCCTCAAGTCCTTTGGAAACTAGGTTGACTTCTTCTCTGTGACTCAGCCCCTCAAGTATGGAAGACTGCTATCATTCACCTCTAGTCCTTCTCTTTGTTAGACTAGGCATACATAGTTTTTGCAACCATTCATTGCAGTTTAGCCTCCAGACCCCATATCATCTTTGTTGCTCTTCTTTGCACTCTTTCTAGGGTCTCAACATCTTTTCTGTATCATGGTGGCTAGAAGTGATTGCAGTCTCATCAGTGCAGAATAAAGCACTATTATCATTTCACATGATCTTGAAACTATCCCTTTGTTGATGCATCTTAGTATTGTATTAGCAACATACTGCTGGTTCATGGTTCAGTGGTGGTCAATTAGGTCACATATATGCCTCTCACAGTCACTACTGTTGAGCCAGGTGCCACCTATTCTATACCTGTGCATTTGTTTTTTCATGCCTATGTGTAGGATCTTTTCTCACCATTGAATTGCATTTTGTTGGATAAGGCCCAATGTTCAAGTCTATCAAGATCCTTCTGAATCTTGAGTCTATCATCTAAAGTGTTAGCTATTCCCCCCAGCTTGGTGTCAACTACAAATTTGATGAGTTCCCTTCTATCCTCTCATCTAGATCATTGATGAAGATTTTGAAGAGCACTGGGCCTAAGACAGAACCTTGAGGTACTGCACTACATGCTTCCCTCCATGTAGGTTTAGTTTCATTGAGGACTACCTGCTGAGTGTGGTAGGTCAGCCAACGGTGAATCTATCTGATGGTATTATCTGTTCTACATTGTTCTGACTTATCAAGAAGTGGGCTGTGGCCTACTTTGTCAAATGCCTTACTGAAGTGAAAGTATACTATCTCCACAGCATTTGTCTTACCCAGTAATTTAGTCGACAAATGCAATAAGGGTTCATGATCTATTTTTAACAAACTCATGCTAGCTTCTATTAATTGTCTTGTTTATTTCTAGTTGCTCACAAATGCACTAGTTAATTATCTTTCCCATGATCTTCCCAGGTATTAATGTCAGGTATTTCCCTTTTTGGAGATTGGAACCACATTAATTCTTTTCCAGTCCTCTGGTAGTTCCCTGGTTCCCCAGTATCTTTGAAAGATATGGTTCAGTGGTTCTGAGCAGAGGTGGGTTGCTGCCAGTTTGGCCCGGATCGGCCGAACTGGTAGTAGCAGCGGCGGGAGGCTCCACTCACTCGCCCAGACGCTTCTGCACATGCGCAGAAGCATCACGCATGCACACGAGTGCATGCAGGAGCGTGTGCAGGAGCACACCTGAACCGGTAGTGAAAAAAATTGGCAACCCAGTTCTGGTTCTGAGGTCACATTTGCCAGATATTTTAGAACCCTGGGATGTAATCCATCTAGTTTTGGCAAAAGGAAATCATATAGAAAGGATAGGTTTTCCTTTACCATTTTCTTGCCTGTTTTAACTTCCATTCCTATTCTGCCTTCTCCTGTACTGCTTTTGATAGGTTGGACTATTTTTCCTGGCATTTGTTGCAAGACGTAGTTAATTCAGATTTCCTGACGTTATCTTTGCAGATTTCTATTTTAGTTATATGTCCCCTTTTCCATTTTTTATACTTGTCCTTGTTTTCCTCTCAGTTTGTCAGAGAGTTCTTCATGCAATCATGCTAGCTTCTTCTGGGTTCTCTTGGTTTTCTTTCTCGGTGGTATTGTGTTAGATTTGGCTTTTATACTCTTATTTTTCAGTGTTTTCCACTGAATCTTTAATTCTACATATCAAAGATTAAGAAAGCAAGACATAATTCAGCTGAAAGTATTTTTTTAGTGCAAAAGAAAGTACATTCGTAGTGAAAATAATTAATAAGACATAAATTTGAACATCTAGTAAAAGCATATGAATCTGGGAGTTTTATTTGGATGGTAGTGTGGTATGATCTAAAAAGGGCAAATGAAATAATCTACAACTATTATATGACCTCACCTCATATTCCATTTTTGAAAACAATTTTATGCAGTGAATATAAAAAGTCTACACTCTGTTAAAATTGAGATGTTTGTGAGATGTAAAAAAAATCAGATCTAGATAAATCACCTTAGATTTTTTTTTGACCTTTAAATATTTAAGTTGTACAATTCAATTGAAAAGCAAACTGTAATCTTATAGAGGAAAACAGCAATAAAAAACTAGAATAATGTCTCTGCATAAGTGTGCATGCCCTCTTATATAAGTAGAGATTTGGCTGTGTTCAAAATTAAGCAATCACTTTTAAATTGATGTTGAATAGTAATCAGTATACACTGCCATCAATTAAAGTAACTCCAAACAAGCCCATATAACGTTCCGCTGTTGTAGTAGGATTTTTCTGACATTTATTCAGTTGCCTGCCACAGTAAAAACAATGGTTTTCATCAGAGGGATCTCATTCTTAGGAGATATCGGTCAGGAGAAGGGTACAAAGAAATTTCCAAGGCATTAGATATACCATGGAACACAGTGAAGACATTCATCGACAAGTGGTGAAAATATGGCACAACAATGACAGTATCAAGATCTGGATGTCCCTCCAAAATTTCTGAAAAACAAGAGGAAGATGGGTCCAAGAAGCTACCAAGAGCCCCACAGCAATATTAAAGAAGCTGCAGGAATTTTTGGCAAGTACTAGTTATGTACTACATGTGACAACAGTCTTCCCTATTCTTCATACAGTATGTCTGGGCTGTTGGGTATGGTGAAAAGACAGAAGCCTTTTCTCACAAGGAAAACTATAAAAACCCAGCTACATTTTGCAAAAATGTACATCGCATGTGACAAAAACATGTGGGAAAATGTTTTTGGGTCTGATGAGATCAAGATTGAACTTTTGGGCCACCATTCAAAAATGTATATTTGGTGCAAAAGCAACACTACACATCACCAAAAGTACACCATACCCACAGTGAAGCATTGTGATGGCAGCATTATGTTTTGGGGGCTGTTTTTTTTTTCCAGCTGGAATTGGGGCTTTAACCATGTTGTAGGGAATTATGATCAATCAATTTTGGCACAAAACCTTCAGGCCTCTGCTAAAATGCTGAAGAAGAAATGGAATTTCACCTTTCAACACAACAACAGTCCAAGCCATATCTCCAAATCAACAAAATAATGGCTTCACCAGAAAATCAAAGTTTTGGAATGGACCAGCCAGAAGCTGGACCTGAATTCAATTGAAAATCTCTGGGGTGACCTGAAGGGGTCTGTTCACAGCAGATGTCCCTCGCAACCTGGCAGATTTGCAGCACTTTTCCAAAGAAGTGGGCAAAGTTTCCCAAAGCAAGGTATGCTCTGATGATAGTTTACAACACCAAAAGACTGAATGCTTTGAATAAAATGCTTCAACAAAATATTAGTTTATGTAGTCACATTCTTGTAGTTTTCTATTATTATCCCCCCTCCATCTCTTTCAGTTTGTTTTTCAATTGAATTGTACAGCTTATATGTTATGATAAAGGTGGAAAAAATTCTGAAGTGATTTATTTTGGTCTGATTTTTTAATATCTCAAATATCTGGGATTTTTAACAGGGCTTAATATCCACCCTATTTGATCTGTGTAGTCTATGGTTGGACTACATAGATTTAGAAGTGCTAAGCATTAATCAGTCAACTATTAGTCTTCATCTGATAATTATACATAAATGATGTTGGTAACATAAGTAAACCTTTCACATCCAGGCTTTCTGTAATCATGTCACTGCTCAAAATACATAGAATCCGTGACCCGACAAATGTGCGCACAACAAAAGTGTGCCGACAAAACCGCGGTGAGAAAACCGCAACATCATAAATGTGCCCACAAAAACGCGCCGACAAAACTGCGCCCACAAAAGTGCGATTTAAGTTAAGGTAAGGGTTAGGTTCAGGGTTAGGTTTAGGGTTAGGATCAGGGTTAGGTTTAGGGTTAGGCTTAGGGTTAGATTTAGGATTAGGGTTAGGGTTATTAGGTTGTTATTACTTGTTTGTTGAAGGTGCGCTTTTGTCGGTGCACTTGTTGGCGCGCTTCTGCGCTCATTCGTCGGCGCGATTTCAAACTCGTGGTTTTCTCGCCACGGTTTCATCGCCGCGCTTTTGTCGAGCGCACATTTGTCAGTGAACCCATAGAATCAGAATGGGACACTGCACTGTGGCCAGCTCACTGCTACCAGTTTGTTGCAGCCAGCTTGCTACGACCAACTCACCTCTGCCAAGTTGCTGCAGGACAAATGTATATGATCAACTTGCCTTGGGGACAAGTCACTGCAAGTGGCCAAAAGGAGAGCCAGGTTGGTGAACGAACAGGTGGGCAAAGTGTAGAGCATAATGGAGTGGGGAGTAGGGAGGCGGTGGTGGCCAGGGGCTTCCCATTTACACCCCTGCTGCTGCTGCTGCACCAAGCTCTGAATGGAAGAAGTCAGCAGCAGCAGGGAGCTTCCAATTTTCACACCACCCACTTGTGCTGAGTTCCACGCCCAGCAGCAGCTCTGTAACTGGCACATCAGCAGCATTGATGGTTCCATGCAGAGCATGGTGGCAGTGGCAGCAGCTCTGAGCCTGGCAAGTCAATGCCATCAGTGATGGCTCTGAGCCCAAATCAGCAGTGACTCCATGTTCAGCATGGCAGCAGCAACAGTTCTAAACCTGACATGGCAGTGGCAGCAGGAGCAGCAATTTTGAGCACAGTGGCAGTGCCAGTGGAGGGATGTGTGAAAATAGAAAGCCCCCAGCTACCACTGCCTCCCTGCCATTCGCCCCAACACTGCAGCCATTATTGTCCCCAGCTTCTTCTGCATGAAGCCTGCATGGCTGCACAAAGATCTCTCTGACAAATTGAAAGAGAAAAAGAACAAGTACAAAAAATGGAAAGAGGGACACATAATTAAGACAGGATATCAGCAGATAGCCCAAATCTGCGAAGACAAAGTTTGGAAAGCAAATGCTCAGAATCAACACAGACTTAAGAAAGATCAAAGATGATAAAAAAAAGTTTCTTTCAACATATAAACAACAAGAAAAAAATCAAGGAAACAGCCAGTCCACTAAAGAGAGAAGACGGCAAGGAAGTAACAGGCAACAGAGAGAAAGCAGAGCTGCTTAACTCATTCTTTGCATCAGTCTTCACGCAAAAAGAAACTATACTCCAACCTACCAGAAACATAACTGAAAATAACAGACTGGAAATAAAAGTTGAAATAAGCAACAACGAAAAACCAGTAAGAGAACACCTGTCTGATCTTGATGAATACAAATCACCAGGACCTGGCAGATTACATCCCAGAGTTCTAAGGGAGCTGGCAGGTGTCACCTCAGAACCATTGTACCACATCTTTAAAAAATCCTGGAACACCGGGGAACTACCAGAGGACTGGAAAAGAGCTCATCTTCAAAAAAGGGGGGGAAATAGATCCAGGAAACTACAGACCAATCAGCCTAACATCAATGCCCTGGAAGATATTGGAAAAGGCAATTAAAAAATAGATCTGACAACACCTAGAAATGAGTATAGTAATAACTAGCAGCCAGCATGGGTTTGTTAAAAACAGATCATGCCAAACCAATCTTATTTCATTCTTCAACATAGTGACTAAATTAGTAGACCAGCAAAATACTGTGCACATAATATCTTCAGCAAGACTTCAGCAAGTCATTTGACAAAGTAGACCACAACCTA